GGGGTGCGGTTTAGGAGATCAGTTATTATTTCCTGTCCTAATGTACACTTCAGGGGACTATATATGCAACATATTGAGAAGTATTAAGGATGCCTACAAACATAACTACTTCCCAGTTTTCAGTTGGTCTTTTTAATAAAACTTACATTAAACAGCCTGTCAAGCAACCCAGAAGGATTGTCAGCAACTGACTGATCTGTGGTTGCAATTTTTCCTGAAACAAATCCTAACAACTTTGTCAGGATTGTTCATTACAAACTCATTGTATCCATAGGTGTTGATTGAACAAAAAGAACAAAACCTTATTTAAGTTGTTACAAGTGAGAGGTGCAATTAATTTGTTTCTGGTGCACTGAAATAACTTAATTGATATAGGAAAATTTCGGTTTTCTTTGAAGGGATAGGATTAAATATTCCTGGTCACTCATAGTCATAATTATTCATAAATTCCAACTACAACCAGTGTAACAGACTGTATTGATTACTACAGGCCCCCTCTTTGGCTACACAAAGGTAACTGCGCTGTGTTCCTAACTTCCTAAATATATATCGCTAAATTTTTTCAAGCAAGCAGACACCTCTACTGACTCTTTTTTCATCAAATCTAGTGAATTTTTTTCTGTTAGTTATAAAGACTTTATGAAAGTTTGCACTATACTGTACTACTTTACTGCAACCATGGGTTGTTAATGTCTTTATAACTGGCTGCCCAATGGCACAAGATCCGGTCATACTCTGTGGCTGTGTCTAAGTCCACATTTGTTTCAATCTGAAACCATAACTTAATTTGTTTTAATCTTTTTGTTACTTTTAGGTTGGATTCTATAAAAAAACAAAAAGTACTTACTGTGACCTTGAGAGTAAAAACTCTGCCAGGTTCCTAAAAATAATAGGTTAATGAATGTCATCATAAAAAACTAGTTAATTGAATTTATTTAGTCAAAAAAAAAAAAAAATTAATTTTTGCTAATTGTTTCTGCCTTCCTCCACATTATTATTCTTTTTCCTCTGTTATTCATAACAATTACATGGGCTCAAGTAATTATCAGTATTTTATGATCATGTGATTCTTAGCTCTTTAACTTTAAAGACAGCCAATATTTACTTTCTTTTACAAGGATTTAGCAGCATTAACTTAATCCTTCAAATCTGATTAAACAGATTTTTTTCCCTAAATTACTAGCCATTCCAATTCCAAATACTGACAGAGTATAGAAATTTAGTGAAGCTGAACTATTTTCCATTGATGAAATTGACCAGAAACATTTTTTTTAATCAAAGATTCATGTCAAAAGTAATAGAAGCATGATAGCATTGCCTTAAGCTGTTTCACAGGAAAACAGTGTCAGCAAGAGACATAGGTGAGCTTACTGAAGACTGTATATATATGCATGTAAAATGTTCCTTTTAGAAACAAAATAGCTCTCCACACTTTAAATTAAAACTCTATATTAGCTTGTTTAATGTTACTAACATTTTTGTAATCTTTGCATTAAAATCATGCAGCAGGACATACAGTACCAGGTGGTTCTGAGTTATGTAACAGTTTTGTTTTTTTACTCAAATATCCTACATTTGGTTGTGAAAAACAGCATAAATTTCTCTGAAACTTCTGTTAAAATCATGAACCCCATAATACAATGCTCAGAACTGCATTATTATTATGAAGTTGGGCTCTGAGTTTGGAATTGCAGAAACTAACAACAATTAGCTTTGGATCATTATTTGACTTCAGAATTACAGAAACTGACAACAATTAGCTTTGGATCATCATCAGCAACAGCAAGTATTTACAATATAAGATCCACATCAGCCTCCAGTTAGTTTTTAACATTTCAAAATTCCCAACATCATCCCCACTGGAAGTGCTGGGAGCAATAATGGCAGATTTTTAAAAACAATCGGTCAGTGTTTGGCTCAACCAATCTCCTCTGGGTGGGATGCCGTAGCTCACGTTTGTGTTTTACTAAATAAAATTAAAAAGTAAAGTCCTTCTCGAACTGTTCCAAGCACAGAAGAGAAG